AGTATAGTAGTTGACTTCGGATATCCATAAGGTATACCTCAAAGACGAAGTAAAGCACTTCAAAAATAAAGTGTAACTGATTAATAGGATTATAACCCTAAAAATGAAGTGGCTGAATGAGTCAGAATAAATGAAACCCACCTCCAATGTATAGAAGAGTACACAGAACTGAATTACTTTGGACGTGAAGTGAAGCTTATTAATGAATTAAGTTAAAATACACTCTAAGTTGAGCGGAAGGAGTGAAAGTAAGAACAATTAAAACAAAGTTCCCTTAAATGAAGTATACTTAAGGGTAAAACTTCTTCAAGTTATTGATATTCCAGACTCTGGGAACCCGTTTACCTTCAGTGTCTCGTAGGATATAAGCACCTGGGTGCGGCATTTCGGCAATAGTGTAGGGGCCTTCCCAGTTTGGTGCCAACTTGCAGAATCAAGTTTCGAACCCCATCAGACCAGCTTTCCTGAGGACAAGGTCTCCTACTTTGAATGTACGGGGTCGAACTCGTTTGTTGTAGAAGTTTGCTATTTTCTGCTTGTAGGCTAGAGTTCGAAGTCGTGCCTCTTCTCTGACGTCATCAAGCAGATCAAGGTTCTCTCGAAGCAGTTGTCCATTTCGTCCTTCATCGAAATGGGTGACTCTGAAGCTTGGAACTCCTATCTCGATAGGAATGACTGCTTCGGTACCAAAGGCCAGATGATAGGGTGTTTCACCTATTTCAATTAATTATAACTTTAGGATGCACTTTACGCGTTATGTATATTTGCTCTAAGGTAAAGCCGTAGCAGAAGAAGTAAAGTAATGTAAAAATTAATCAAATAGACCAGGTTTGAAACGATACTTGTGGCAGTTCGGCTCGTGGTTCTGTATGCCCATAGGACGTTGTTGAGCTCGTCCGCCCATTTGGCCTTGTGTTGTTCCAACCTCGGCTTTAAACCTTCTAAGATGCATTTGTTAACAGATTCGACCATGCCATTGGACTCCGGATGGTAAACCGAGGTGAACTGCAATTTGATCTCGTAGCTGGAACAAAAATCTCGAAAAGAGGTGTAGTTAAATTGAGTTCCATTATCAGCCACAATCTGATTTGGGATCCCATATCTGCAGATGATTGAGCTGAAAACAAAGTCTTCGACCTTCTTGGAAGTAAGACTGGACAATGGCCGAGCTTTAACCCATTTTGTGAAATAATCTACACCAACAATCAGGTGGGTTACACCACCAACCCCTTTCACGAATGGACCCAAAAGATCCAATCCCCACTGAGCAAATGGCCATGGTGCTACTAGAGTAGTGAGCTCTTGTGCAGGCTGGTGAGTCAGGTGCGCAAAGAACTGACATTTCTGACACCTCTGTACGAACTGAGTGGCATCCTTGTACATGTTGGGCCAATAATAACCCTGTCTAAGCTAAGGACTTTGTGAGCCAAAGTTCGAGCACCTACGTGGCTTCCGCAGACACCTTCATGTACTTCGCGAAGTGCATACTCCGCTTCGTAGGGGCTTAAGCATCGTAGAAGAGGTAGAGAGAAAGATCGCTTATAGAGGACCCCACCAACAAGTGTGTACCGAGATGCTTTCTTCCTCAACTTCATTGCCTCCTGCCTGTCCTTAGGTACTATCTCGTCTTGTAAGAAGGAGAGGATTGGGTCAGTCGAGCTCGGTGAGCCTGGGTCTGTGTTGATCTCCATCACCCGTGGCTTCATGAAGCTTGGTTCGTCTAAGACCTCCACAAAAACTGACCTGGAATGTGAAGAACTATCAAAGGCAAACTTAGAGAGTGAATCTACCTGTTCATTCTCAGTTCGGGGGATTTTGCTCAGACAGAATTTCTGGAATTTGCACTTCAGCTCGGCCACCAGAGCTACATATTTCACCATCACAGGATCAACAACTTCGCAGATTGAGTTAATTTGGTTCACCACCAGCTGGGAGTCACTGTATACTTGAATTGCACTGAGTTTTAATTCCAATGCTAGCTGCAGACCAAGTAGCAGGGCTTCATACTCAACCATGTTGTTTGTTGCATCGAAGTTAAATTTCAAAGTATGTTCACTTCGGTATCCATTTGGCTGATCAAGAGAGCACCAGCTCCTGAACCTTTGCTACTAGATGCCCCATCAACATATAAGGTCCAGTCATTGAGCTCCGGAGTAGGAATGGAATTACCTGGAGTGCACTCTACAATAAAATCTGCCGGTGCCTGAGCTTGGATTGCAGATCTCTGCTGAAATGTTATCTCAAATTCCCCTAGTTCTACTGCCCACTTAATTAATCTTCCAAAACACTCAGGCTTTTGCAGAATCTGCCGAAGGGGTTGGTCTATAAGAATAATGATCGGGTGCGACTGGAAATATGGCCTCAACTTTCTTGTCGAAGTGACAATTGCTAAGGCTGCTTTCTCAGCTATAGGATACCTCAGCTCGGCTCCATGCAGCACACTGCTGATATAATATATTGGTTTCTGCTGCTTGGCTTCTTCTCTTACCAGAACCGTACTAATGGCTTCATCTGAAATTCCCAGATATAAATAGAGGATTTCTCCATCTTTGGCTTTAGTCAGTAGAGGTGGTGAGCTAAGATAAGACTTCAGCTCATCGAATGTGGCTTAGCATTCCTGAGTCCACTCAAACTTCTTCTGTTTACCTGATTCGTCCTTCTGGGCAGCTGACCTCATAATCTTGAAAAACGATAGGCACTTATCTGCTGACTTCGATATGAACCAATGAAGAGCTGCTACCCTTCCAGTCAACCTCTGTATGTCCTTCACTGACTTCGGCGGTTCCATCTCGGCAATTGCTCTGATCTTCTTTGGATTGACCTCAATCCCTCTCCGGGAAACCATGAAACCCAGGAATTTTCCAGACTCCACGCCAAAGATGCATTTGGCTGGGTTTAATCTCATTCTATTCTGTCTGAGATTGTTGAATGTCTCCTCAAGGTCGGTTAAGTGATCGTCAGCTTTCAAACTCTTTACCACTATATCATCAACATAAACTTCCAGATTTTGTCCTATCTGAGCTCAGAATACGATGGTAACCATCTTCTGGTAAGTGGCACCTGCATTCTTCAAGCCGAAGGGCATAATTACATAGCAATAGATCTCATCGCCAGCATAGAACGAGGTTTTTTCTTCATCCTCAGGAGACATTGGGACCTGGTGGTAGCCTGAGTATGCATCCAAGAGACTTAATCTCTCATTTCCCGAAGCTGCCTCAACCAGCTTATCAATGTTTGGCATTGGATAACAGTCCTTTGGACATGCATCGTTGAGGTTAGTGTAATCAATGCACATCCGCCATTTACCGTTTGCTTTTTTCACCAGCACCGGATTGGTGACCCACTCACAGTAATCTACCCTTCTGATAAAGTCGGCTTGTAGGAGTTTCTCGACTTCTTCTTTAATAACCTTTAACCTCTCCCCCTCGAAGAGGCGTCGCTTTTGGGCTATTGGTCTCTTGAGGGGATTGGTGCTGAGTTTATGTTGAAAAACTGAAGTGGGAATTCCCGGCATATCTGCTGAAGTCCATGCAAAAACATCTTTATTGGCCCGAAGAAAAGCTATTAGCTCTGCTCTTTCCTCCGGGTTCAGTTTAGTCCCAATTTGCGTTTTCCGGCTCGGATCTCTGTCATCAATCTGTACCTCCTCCACATCTTCGACTGGAGCAGCTCTGGTTTCATCTTCTGGTCGGTTATCTACTATCTCAACACCCATAACTTGCTGATTATCAGGAATCCGTTTGGGATTGACCTCGGGTGTCTGGTCTTTGCCCTTCTGAGGTTGTGTGACCGAGGTGATATAATAATGTTGGGCCACCTCCTGGTTGCCTCGCAGTGTTGCTATTCCCGTAGGAGTTGGGAATTTCATGCAGAGGTGAGACTGGGAAACCACGGCTTGGATTTCAGTCAGTGTAGGTCGGCCAATGACAGCGTTGAAAGAGGACGCCATCTTGATTACTAAAAACCTCACGGAAGGGGTCACATAACTTTGGCCACTTTCAAATGCAACATTCATGGTGAGGACTCCTTCAACTGGAACCGGTTGGTTGTTGAACCCATAGATGGGACCATTATACCGCTGCAACAGAGCTGGATCTAACCCAAGACTCTCAAAACAATGGAAGTACATGATGTCTGGTGCACTTCCTGTGTCAACAAGGACACGCTGCACCTCACAATTATTGATCGTGACGGAAGTGACGAGAGGATCATTGTGAGGTGTGACAATTGTTTCGAGATCAGCAAATGTGAAAGTGATGAGTTGATTCTTCCACTCAGCATCGTCAAATTTTCGCTTCTGAGCTCGGTTCTGGTGCTTAACCTCTCTGACATACAACTTTCGCTGCTTAGAGCTCAGTCCACCTGCTTCTAGACCTCCCGTAATCATGTGTATGACTCTAGCTGGTGGTGGGAGTGGTGGTGGGGCCTGCTGATATCCCACACCTTGCCTGTTTGGGGGATTGCGAACTCCTTGATGTTGTGGCCCTTGTTCTCTGACAAACCGTGGCTGTTCCACTCTCTGGATGTACTCATTCAACATTCCTTTCTGCGTCAGACTTTCCAGCTCGGACCTCAGACTATTGCATTGCTCTGTTGTATGACCGTGATCTTGATGAAAATCACAGTACCTAATATGGTCTCTGGTAGCAGCAGCAGTTCTCATTGGACCCGGACGTCTTAAGTTCATCTTATTCTTAATCTGCATAAAGATTTGTGACCTCTGTAAATTAAAAGGAGTCCAATTAACTGGAGTTTTACCTGCAGGTTGTTGCGGAGGTGCGGAGTTCGGCTTTCCGAATCTTAGGGTGGAAGTCGACATCGGACCTCGGTTCTGTGTTGTCTTCATCTGTTTCCTGTTCGAATTCTCATCTCTCCAGTCCGGGTGTTGGCTCTTAATAGGAGTTAGGTTCTGCGATAGGGCATATTCCTCAGCAGTTATGAATTTCAACGATCTATCATTTACCTCGTTGAAGGTGTTGGCAGGATGTTTGAGCAGACTGTCTCTGAATCTCTCATGGCTAAGACCTGAGATCACAGTTGTAATTCCCACAGCTTGGTCGAAAGAGTTAACCTCCAGCACTGCATCATTGAATCTGCTCATAAGATTCTTCAAAGACTCTCCATCCCTCTGCTTAACTCGCATCAACTCAGAAGTGGTTTTCTTGATCAACCTTCTACTGGAAAACTTTGTGGCAAAAGCAGATGCCATTTTTGTGTAAGAGTTGATTGACCTCGGAGGCAGACTGTAGTACCAGGTTCGAGCATTACCTTGGAGGGTAGAGGGAAAGATTTTGCACATCAACGCATCAGAGGCGTTCTGGGCTTGCATGCAAGAGTAGAAAGCATGTAGATGATCATCGGGGTCCTTCGTCCCATCATAAGTTTCAAGCTGTGGTATTTTGAAGCCAGCGGGATAGGGTTCCAGTATAATATTGATGTTGAGAGGGTGGGGTACAGAGTCAGCAACAGGGTGTGGAGGTGGGGCACCTCGCTGTTCAACCACCAGCTTTTCTAAGCTATCTAGACGTCGAGTGACATCATCATGAAAAGGGTTGTTGAGCTGGTGCGATGTGAGATTGGCCCTGAGATTCACTAACAGCGGGAGCATGTTGAACTGGTTCAGGATTTTGTGGTGGGGCTGGGGGTTGTGGTGGGGTAGGATTAAGTAGGTTGATGAGTGGATCACTAGGATTGTTCCGGGCTAACAGCTGAGCCAACACTAGCTGAAAGACACCAAACTGCTGTTGCATGGCAGCAAGTTGAGTTGCAACTACGTCTTGGTTAGCGGTGGAGGCTGAGTTGCGAGCCAAATTGTATGGCTGATTTTCATCCCTTCCTTCTGTATGGTCAACATGAGGGAATGTATTCGGGATTGGGGGTGAGGGATGAGGTGGAAGGTTGCTGGGGACCTGACCTCGTCCAAAGGCTGAGACGAGTTTCCACCTCGGGCTGACCTAGTTTTAACCATGATAAGAGCAACGGGGTAGCCTTTAGTTCGGATTCCCACAGACGGCGCCAAAATGTAACTGCACCAAACCAGAAGTCCTTCTTCAGTCCGTATCTGCACTCTGGATTGACCTGCAAAGCCCCGAGGTGGGTCCTCGGGGTAGACACTCTGATGCTTAAGTTAGCAATAATCGGGGCTACTTTTAGGACGGAGAAACAAAGAGCTTAGGGTTGGATTCAATTACCTTTTGGCATGGCCTTTGAGGGGTATTTATATGTTCCGATGAAGAACCCACGTGGCATGCTAAGCAAGGTATCCGGGATCCGATGTGTATCTCCAGGCAGTTATTTTGGGATCCGATGTGTATCTCCAGGTAATTATTTCGGGACCGGGAGATTAAGCCAAGCAAGATATTCGGGATTTGATGTGCATCTCTATACAGTTATTTTGGGATTGGGAGATTGAGATATATTTAGATACAAGGACGTCCATCATAACTGTTGTACAGCTGTTCGAGCGGGAGGCTCTGGATTTACTATTCACTCCGATTGTAAAGGAGTTACTGTTGTACGTCCGAGGTGGGGCACCTCGGACCAGCTCTTACACAGTCCAACTGTTTTTGGGCCAAGATTGGATATCATTAGTCGCACTTGGTCATTTCGCTATGACACACGTAACCCAATTTCTTATCCTTGCTGATATTTGGTAGAAATACACAATGAAGAAAACTCTCACCTATATATTGCCCTGTTATTGGTGTACCATTGTAATCATACAGAGAAATAGGTGTACACCAAAAGTAAACATGCAGGAGGTATGGGCTTCAAGGATCTCCACTGTTTTAACCTTGCAATGCTAGCCCGCCTAGCTTGGAGAATAATACAAAATCCAAATGCCTTATGGGTCCGTGTCTTAAAAGGTTTATATTTCTCAAACTCCTCATTTTTGAATGCTAGAAAAGGAAGCCATCTTTCTTGGGCGTGGTCAACCATTTTGAAAGGAAGGGAGATCGTCCAACTAGGGATGCGATTGAACGTCGGGAATGGTCAAAATATTCTGATCTACCAAGACAATTGGGCCCCCACCCTAGCTGGTTTCAAGGTGACTTCTTCCCTCGGTTTACATTGTTTGTACTCTCATGTTTGTGAATTACTTGATAATAGAGGAGAAAGGGATGTTATGAAGTTGAATGCATGTTTCAGTAGGGAAATAAGTAGGGAAATTCTTAAAATTCCTACCGGAGATTGCTCTGACTCTATTGCATGGCATAATGATAAATACGGTAGATTTTCTGTTAAAAGTGCCTACCTGCTAGCATATAATGCTGTTCATGAACCTGGTATAAATGATCCCAACAGGAATCTCACAAACGCTGAGTGGAAACACTTGTGGAAACTGAAGGTACCTCCCAAAAGTTCGAGCGTTTTTATGGAGAGCCATAATAAACTCATTGCCTTCCTTGGACAATCAGGCAAAAAGGGGGATTTCATAGGAGGTAGTGTGCCTGAATTGTCAAATGGCTGATGAGACCTTAATGCATCTGCTTTTTCATTGCTCTCATGTAGAACCTATTTGGTTTGGTTCAGCCTTGGGTTTAGACCCTCGGCAGCTAGGGGCGAAATGCTTTATTGAATGGTGGAGGTATATCAATGAGGTTGCTAAACAAAAGGGCATCCCTTCTTTGGTGGAACAATGTGCAATTATCTGTTGGCACTTATGGAAGGCAAGAAATGAAAAATATTTTGATCATGTAGAGTTGAATCCTCACCATATCCTTGCTCGTATCTCTCTTATGATTCAAGAATACTCTGCCTACACAAATAAGGACTTACTCACCCCCCCATCCAGAGTACGCGCAACTGGGAAGCAACAGCCATCCGCTTGGAGTAAACCCCCACTGGGATTCATAAAAGTAAATGTGGATGCTTCCTTCTCACCTAAATCGGGGTCTGCAGTGCTTGCTATGGTAGGACGCAATTGTCAAGGTGAATTTTGCTTTGGCAAATCCGGGTTCTATATGGCTCTTTCCCCACTTATGGTAGAGGCTGCTACTTTGCACAAAGCTACTCAATTCGTGGAAGACAAGGGTGTTCAAAACGTCATATTTGAAACTGATAACCAAGAGCTAATTGCCTGCCTCTTGCAACCCGATAAACCCTCTCCATGGGAAGTAAAGACGCTTATTTTATCCATAAAAAGGGTCTCTAGAAGCCACCCTAATTTTATGTTCTCTTTTGTATCAAGAGAGGGTAATAGAGTGGCTGATTGGGTAGCTTGGCAATCACTTAAAGGGCAATGTCCTGTTTTTTGGGAAAATATACCTCCTAATGAACTACTTCCGCTACTATATCAGGATGGTCTATGTAATTAATGTAAATATACTTGAATATAATATATAAATTTCTTTTTTCTCGCATTGGGCCTCACGGCCCAACGATTATAGGTCGGCTTGTAAGGTGCATCCTTCAGTCCGAGGGTTGAGGTTCGATTCCCTTCTCCCCAATAATTGTAACCTTGTTCAAAAAAAAAAAAATTCCCTTTCCTCAGAAAAAAAAAAAAGAAAAAAAGAAAAAAAGAAAAGAGAAATAGGTGTACAGTGTTAGATAAGCGTAAGGCGTTGCAGTCCAGTACGTTGTAGTTGTAATTTGGGTTAAAGCCAACTATAGTCCCTCTACTTTCATTTTTCATTCATTGTCCTCCATGTACTTTGAAATCGTTCAAAGACCTTCCTCTACTCTCTCAAAACATACTACTGTCCTCCCTTTACTTTCAATTTTCATATTAGTTACCTTTCTCATCTAACACCTAACAAACACTGTTACTAACTATCATGTAACAAATTTTTTTTGCCATTAAACCTCCATCCATCCATTAATTTTCTTTTTTTTTTTTTTGATGAATTTCAATTGTGAGCCCCACAAGTTCCATGCACCTACCATGTCACCAACCTAGATCTGTCCTCAAACATATAAAAATAATACATACACAAGTTATTTCTACCGATGTAAAAGTTACACTTTTAAGATTGTTTACCAAAATATTAATTTGAAAGTATACAAAAATTGATTTTGAAATACCCTAATCATAAAGAAAATAAGGAAAAGTAATTCTTGAAATAGACTATCATGTATTGATCAATGGATTTATTTTTTAATTGTGTTAATCAAATTTATTTTTTTATAGAGAATACATAAGAAAAATCATAAAAAAATCTATTAATTTATATATCACAATAATCGTATAGAGTCAAACAAGTAAGGTTGGGCATTCAGTTTGGATTAACCGAATCGAATCGAATTTTTGGTTATCTATAATAATTTTAGAAAGATTTTTATATCCAATTTGAACCAAATTTTCAATTCAGTTATAATTTTAGTTATTTGAAATGATTTGAATAATTTGTTTAATTAACTAAAATAATCGAAATATACCATTATTCTTCACTTTTTGTCATTAAAAGGTTTTTTTTAAAATTATTTTTAGTCTTTTTCTTCATATTTCTATACATAAATTGGACAAAAAAAGATTTTTATCCAAAAAAATTTCATATAGCACAAAACTAAAATAAAATAAATTTATACTAAAAATTTTTGGATAGCTTTAGATAATTTGGTGTGTCATATCAATTTATTATTGCATGTTTTCTTTCTGCTAACATTGGATCTAAATATTTTAATTTGTCTTAGACAAAAGAGTTGCACCCAAGTTAGCCAATGAAGTTAAACTATGAAGTGTTGGGAAAATTTTGGATAATAACAAGATAGCTGGCTAGTGCAGGGTACCATTTAAGAGGGTTATCACTATGCATGTTGTAGTGCAAACAACTTTAGAAAAAGTAAAAACAGGTAATCTTATATTAATTGCTGTAGAATGCTTACTTTGATTTTGGTTATTGACTAATATTCTAGAGTTTGGCTAATCAAACTTCAAGGATTAATCAATCACCAAAATTAGAGTAAGCATTCTTGGGTAATTAGTGTAAGATTACTTGTTTTTGCTTTTTCTAAAGTTGGCTGCACCACAACATGCATGATGATAACCCCCTTTGGTAGCTCACCAGATGGTACCCTGCATTGGCTAATTGTCCTTTTTGTTATCTAAAATTTTTCGAGTATTTATTAGTTTGACATTATTGGTTGACTTCAGTGCAATTTTTTTTGTCTAAAATAGATAAAAATATTTAAATTCAATGTTAGCAAAAAGAAAACATGCTGTAACAAATCGATATGAGACACCAAATTATTTGAAAATTTTTAATATAAATTTATTTTATTTTTTATTTTAATTTTTGTACTATATGAACTTTTTTGGA